CCCGAATGTAATCAGAGATGTGTCTTTGCGATGGCCCTACAGAGCGCCACAGAGGGCGCTAATAGATTGCTAAAGTGGCTCTGCGGCCGGCGATTTTGCAGCCGAGTCAGGCCGGATACAGAGGCTCCACGAAAGCTCAAGCACTGTAAATAAGCTTAACTGACTCGATTCCGGTACCATTTGTTTCAGTTTGATGGGATGCGCAATCGCTGTTGTCTGCAATTGTGCTTGGGACGATGTCTCTGAAGATCCGTTCTGTGTATCGGTACATGAGTCTGCTGTAGAAGCTCAACCGCGGAATTGCCATTTTGCGACTGTCTGTGCTCTTCAACACGATGAAGGAATCCTACATCAGGCTGGGCATCTTCAAATGACAGCGGAACAGTTCCTCTCATCTCCACATCCCTAGGTGAGGTGTTCGGGAGGGAGGCTCCGGCGGCTCATCTGAACTCAGCGATCCATGTCCGCTCTGCCGTCCCACCCGAGTTCATCACGAACTCTCCGAAACTACCCACTCGGTCAAGCGAGAGACATGCCCAGCCCTAATTGACTCCAGCCACAATATAATCATCTCTGCAGCGCCAGCTGTCAACAATCCTGGATTCCACCCGATCCACAACCCAGCATTCTTAGTGTAGCGGTTATCATCCCAGCCTTCCATTCGAGAGAATCTGACATCTGTCTGCGAGCTGGGGACCGGGGTTCGACTCCCCGAGGATGCATTTGCTTTTGCCTTTTTGCTCTGCTGCATTGTGTGTCGATGAGTTGTTGATTGCTGGGGTTGCATGTGGGCGTGGTTGGTGCTTGGAGGTGAGAAGCGGTAGCCTACGGAGAAAGTCATTTACCCGACGGTCCAAATGATGAGCAAAGTTCTTAATTATGAGACGGACAGTGCCTGCTGGCTGGTGCCTTCCCAAAGTAGAACGCTGTCCTGCTAGAGCAATATTGACATGGATGATGGAAATGACGGACCAGAGCGCCACCACCTAGAGATGACTCACGACGACGCGGGACGGCGAGGGACAATGATGAGAGACGAGTAGAAGAGACAACGACAAGGGAGGATGATGGCTAACAATAGGAGACAGCGACAGAGGATGTGATAACATACGATCGGTTGGGTAATGGTAGACACCGACGGCAGCGGGACGCCGACAACGATGACGACAACATTGTAGAAGGAAAAAGAACTGAACGAACCTTCCTCTACTTGATACCAGCAACGATAAGTGATACAGCGCATTCGTCATTTATCTTGAGCCTGTTCATTTGTGTCATTCAGAGTTAGAAGTGCGGCAATCAGCACAAGAAAACATCATCATGTGTGCACTTTATATCAAGACGATCATCGATATCATGAGCTATCCTAAAATACCATTCATTCACCTCATCATTCACCTCAGATTACATATTATAATCCCCTCTAAATACTGAACGTGCCATTCAGCCTCAAATCGCGACTACTCGCGCCAACCCACACGTCAAACTCCCCCTCGGGCAACCGCCACTGTTGCGCGACAACGTCCCAGAAACTCAGATCTCTTCTCACAAGCTTGAACTCCACCGTGGCGCTCGCGCCCGCCTCGAGGTACACCCTCTCGAAACCCCGGAGCTGCCTAATCGGCGTGCCTTCAACGGGGATGCCCACGTACAGCTGCGCGACCTCATGGCCCGCCACATCGCCCGTGTTCTGCACCTGCGCCGTGACGGAGTACACCTCCTCCCACAGCTGCGGGTGGCCGCCCTGCACGATCGCGACGCCCGCGTCCGGGAGGCCGGCGACGGGACTGCCGACGGGGGCGGAGGCGAGGGCCGAGTAGGCGAAGGTGGTGTACGACAGCCCGAAGCCAAACTCGTAGCGGGGGGCGACGTCGTCCTTGTCGAAGGCGCGGTAGTCGATGAAGAGGCCCTCGGTGAAGTCGTCCTGCGGGAAGGGACCGGTCTCGGCGCTGGAGTTGAGCAGGGCGCCGAAGTCTTCCTCGGCGTGCGCGACAGTGTAGGGGAGGCGACCGCTGGGGTTGACGTCGCCGTAGAGGATGTCGACGAGGGAGTTGCCGGATTCTTGGCCGGGCAGGCCGGCGAAGAGGACGGCTGTGACGTTAGGGTGGTCGACCCAGGCATCGATGACTCGGGTTCCTGGTCGGTGTCAGTCATGGTCAATGAGCGATCGTGTTGGGGGACTTACCAGCTGAGTGGAGCACGACAATGGTGTTGGGGCAGTTTGCCGCGACGTTGTTGACGAGGTTATCGCTAAAGTCATCCTTCAGGCTGGGACGATCGTATCCCTCAGATGCCCACGCATTGATAAACACAAAGCATGCCTCCGTGTTAACATAGGCCGGGCTTGGGTTCTCAGAGTAAAAGTCCCACTTGACGATACCCCCATCCGCAATGACGCGGTCCTGGATGGCCTGGAAGGGGCTGATCACATACGGCGGGGTGGTGATGCCCGAACCGCCGCCGGCAATGATGGTTCCGTTGTACGTGTTGATCTCGTCGGTGCCGAAGCCAGGGCCGTAGCTGGTGCTCGCCCACGGGCTCGGGTGCAGGGAGGCGTCGTAGCCATAGACGGTCAGGAACTTGGGGCTTTTCAGGGGCAGAGTGCCGTTCACGTTCTTGACGAGCACAGTTCCGGCAGCACCGATCTCGCGGATGAGTGTCTTGTGTCCGTTCTGCACGTCCACGGGCGCGTGCTTCTGCAGGTTGGAGTAGACGCCGACCGCGGGATAGTCGTCACCATCTTGGCCGGTGTAGTACCATGCAGCCAGGATACGGGTGGCCATGTCCTCGATCCGCTCGTGTGCGACGCTGCCATTGTTGACGGCCTCGACGAGGGAGGCGCCCCAGAAGCCTTCGCTGGGCATCACGAGGTCCAGCCCTGCGTTCGCGCTCGCTACGCCGGAATGCTACAACCATCATCAGCACACGATCTACAACCCTCACAGTTGACAGACAAAGACTTACCTGAGCGCCCCAGTCAGACACCAAGAAGCCCTCGAACCCAAGCTCGCCCTTCAACACGCCATTAATCAGCTTCGAGTTCTGGCAGCCGTACGAGTTGTTGGACCGCTGGTACGAGCACATGACGGACGCAGCACCCTCGCGGATGGCGTCCATGAAGGGGAAGACGTAGAGCTCGTGCAGCGTGCGGTCGTCGACGTTGGAGCTCACGGCCTCGCCGAGCCCCGTCTCCGGGTTGCGGCGGTACTCCTGCTCGTTGAGGATCCAGTGCTTCGGGCACGCGATGGTGCCGGCGTCCTGCATGCCCTTGGTGATCTCGCCTACGCTGATGGAGGCGAGGTACGGGTCGTTGCTGGTGCCTTCCCAGTTTCGCCCACCGCGGGCGATGCGGCCGAGGGGTCCGCCGACGGGGCCGAGACCGACGTTGATACCCTGAGATGCTCATCAATGGTCTGTGTGTTTGATTGGAACGTTGGTGTTCTTACCTTGCCGCGGTACTCGGCACCGAGGGCCTCGCCGTACTGGTAGGACAGGTTGCGATCAAACGCAGCACCGAGATGAATGCCAGCTGGGAAAGCAGAGACAAACTCCTGCGCGCGCACGCCGTCCGGTCCGTCTTGAAGGCAGAGGGGCTCGATGCCGAGACGGGGGATAGAGCCGGTGTTGCCCGTGCAGAGACCCGTCCAGCCATGGGTGAAGTTGGCCAGCTCCTCGACGGTCATCTGCGAAGTGAGGGCCTTTGCGCGCTGGTAGGCCAACGCCCAAGCATCATTAGTAGTACCATTTCCCACGGCTACACGATGTTAGCACGGAGACTGCCTCGCGTGAAGGCTGAGGAGGAGATGATCACTCACGGGTGGGATAGACAGGAGGACTCTGGCCATAGTAAGGGTCTGTCTCGTTCGTGTACTCGCTCTGGGCTGCGCAGAGTCGAAGACCCGCGAGGGCCGCCACGACGGTTGTAAGCACGGCGTTCACCATGATGACGAGGAGAACTCAATGGTTTGACCGGGAAGAGTGCGCTGCTTGAGCCAACCACACCGTTTTCTCGAGAATACCAGCTACTTATGACTATTTCCCACGGCTCGGTTCGGGAGAAGACTCAACGAACGGCCGCCCTCTAGTCCCCGGCGCCGCTGCAACTTCAATCCTCTAGGCGCATGCGCCGTCGGCCCTTCTCCAGAACCCACCAGTCCCATGATCACGTCCAATTTTCCCCAACGTCCCACCGCGAGATTCCCAATTCCAGCACTGAAATCCGAGGGGATGAGATCATCGAGGCTGCGAAGCCGGCCACTCGGACCAAGCTTTTCGGTAGTAGTCTGTCAATCCGGTAGTAGTTTGTGGGGTATTAGGTGTCATCCGAACGGTGCGGGGGAGGGGTGCCAGCAACGCTTCTTTTGGCCCTGGGATGCCCATGGAGGCTCTTCGGCGGTATTCTGAGTGCATTCTGCAGAATAACCATACTGGCAGAGCACGCGGGGAATCGTGGGGAAGGGCACAGGGGTGGTTGAGTGGACTGTCGGGGGAATATCACACGTCTGTTGGCGTGAGTCGAGGTGATGCCGTGATGTGGGAGTGCGGGGAAGGTCGTAAGATTGGTGGGCTGGTGTTGGTTGGCGACTGGGGTTATGACGGGAAACACTTCGGCAAAGATGGGCTGTTTGCTCGTCTTTGGCCCGAGGCAGCGCAGTGAAGCCTGAATCGGGGAGTCATTTAAGCTGCCATCGCCGATGGGGGGCGGGGTTGATGGAGCTGGGTGGTTAAGTTGACTGCTTTAGGGTTGGGATGAGGGTATATCCGCCCCTTTGGGAGTGGCCCTTGTAGGCAACTGTCGGTCTGGATTTTCGCCTTCGTTGAATTGACGTTCTAGATTGGTCAGCGATTAAGAATCGTGCGAGGTTGAGGTGGTGTTCGCTACTCGGCAGGAGTCACATCATCATGGTTCGCGAGGAACGGACCGATAACCACGTTATGTGCCAGGACCGTGGGTAGCAAGTTCTGTCAGGGCCAAGTCGGAAAACCCGGTTCGTTCTCGATCACAAAGGTGCAGGAGAATCTTCGCCGGGTCGGTCATAACCCAGCTTCGGATAGGGAGTGGGATACTTCCCATCGTCATCAGTCACCCAGTTGGGGTAACCGAGGTCCTGCAATAGCCGCATATCAGCCATATGTACGATCATTTTGCTGAACTTCACTAACGTAGAAGGGATTTCCAGAAGTTCCGGCCCTTTTCAACTCTGTCGCCTCATTCCACCACTCTACCTCGGGCCGGTGACGGCGCTTACACCACATACACCTGGGATCGATCTCGTCAGGAACAGTAGCGCCACATTTGCACCAGAACTAACCAAACCAATCAGTATCATGCCATCAAGTGATGAAAAGAAAACGACTCACAGCGCGATCATGTTGATGATCATGCAACAGTTTGGTGATGGGCTCGTCCGAATCGTCCTCCGCCCAGCCCCCCTCAAACTCAGTGTGCTCGTTGTAATACCTGCCCGCCTCGCGGTCGAACTCTCTGGCACATTTCAGGCAGATCCAACGGCTGTAGACGTTACAGTCACACCTCTCATTCAAAAACTTCCCCTCAATCTCTTTCTCCTGCTTCTCGTCGCACGGCGGGCACAAGCACATGACATTGTAAGACTGACACGGCTCATTGAGATGCGGCCGGCCAAAGGAGTAGATGGAGCGGTTCGGCCAGCGCGGGTAGTCCCTGCACTCTTCGCAAATGTTGATGCCGCACCTGACGCACGGCAGGGCGCCCGTCTCGTCGCATTTGAGGTTGAACAGCCGCACCTCGATGGGCTCATCGAAGTCGATCCTGGGCTCCTGCTTGAGCTTGAGCTTCCAGTAGTGGATGCGGTGCGGGCCGGTGAAGTTCTGGCGTCTGGCCAGGCCGCGGCCGTCGCAGAGACACGAGCGCTTAAGGCGGTTGAAGATGACGGGGGAGCCAAGGATAGACGCGTGGTTGGAGCGATTTGTGAGGGCTAGATGGAAAAGATCCAAGGTCGAGACGTACTCGGTGAGGCTGGAAAGAATAGGGTAGGAGGATATGAGGTTTGAGAGGGAGGGTGGTTCGTGGGCCATTGTTGGATTTCGGGCTGCGAGAATTACGGCACAGCTGAGTTTCCTTATTTCACCCAAGGGTTCCGCGAATGAGTCAGGTTGAAGTTGAGGACTGGGCTGGTTTTGTTGAAGTGGTAGCGTGTGAAGACGTGAAGTCAATTGCAAGTGGCGGTGCTGCTGCCTGGTGGCGAAGAGATTGCGCATCGTCCCATGTTTCTTGGCGCACCCACTTGGTTGATCCATGCTTCAGCCTCTGTTGCTCGGATGTGTGGCTTGGCATGGGTAGCTAAACATCGAGTTCTGTGACATCACATTAAGAAGTGGCAGCCGAATTTAGCAACTAGGTAACTATGGTTATTATACTGGCGAGAAAAGAGCTGGCGCATTTACTCAGTGCCAGAATCGAAAATGGCTCGGTTCTTTGCTTGGTCAGCCAAACATAGAACTGCCCAATACAGCTTTTAACCCGCTCCTGTTCGTCAGAAGGTAAACGGTAACCTAAACGGTCAAAGTGAAAGCTTCGTACAATCTCATTGCACATTTTCACAGTTGAAATCGGAAGATGGTGGATTTGATCCGCGGAAAGAGATGCCAAATCATGTCAAATCATTGAACAAGACGCGTCTATCGCTCTTATGGTTTGGCATACAATTTCCCCCAAATCGTCTCGGGATTTTGAACCATTTCCATGTCAAATACTCACCAATTGCAAAAGCTACTCGAACCCGATATCTCGACCTGTACAGCCATGACACACTGCACAGTCAATTCCAGCATCTTTAGCTGCAGTTGCAATAAACGTCAAGAACATCAATTAGCCCAATTACCAAAATAGAACCGGGGTAAATACAGCTACTTGAATTGAGAAACGGAGCAGCTGTCAAACGTGCCGCTCTTGCTCGTGCACTATTCCCATCAATCAACAACAAATTCCAACATTACTCTGCGGTTTCTGTACTCAGGTCTCCAGGGCACCCGCTTTGGCATGTGGCCTCAGTATCATACATCCCTCCAGTCCACGGAAAAACGGCGAGGGGCGAGGTGATGAGCAACAGAAGGAGGGAAGACTTCATGGTGAAGGAGTGTATTGATCTTTCTTGAAATCCTTTCGAAATATGATTGGTAGGTATTCGAGGAGTGGATGAGTCAATGGTGAGAGATGCGTGGTTAGCAAGTGCAAAGCCACGGCTGACAGTCTCTGTATTGATCCATCGGAAGGAACTCGTCTCCTGAGAATTATAGGGCTGACTTTCCAAATTTGCCGTGATCTGCGGATTCACGGCGATCGACAACCTGGAAACTGTGCTGCGTACTAATACACCTGCCGCTATAACAGAGGCTATGCTTTCAAGTCCACCCAGGCCCCCCAACTTTCCCGCCTCAATCTACAAAACCAAAACTTAAACCTAAGAAGTGTGAAGGCGGACTATAAACTCCAGCAAAGCCTCACCCCAACAGCATAACAGAAGTTGAATATATGGGGAAGAGACTGACACCACAGGTGCAAGCCTTCGAAGGGTGACTTGACCTTGCCTCGGAACGGCGTGGCGTTGATGAATGTCGTATGAGGAGAAATCCGTTGCAGTTGCAGCAGATGCTGCAAAAGTCAACATTGTAACAAGTCCACTTAGTATACAATATATCTGAGGTGCTGGCATGGGAACATCCCACTTGAGTCATGCCGTGGGGACATCCCGAGCGGGTTGTGGGAATACAACATGCCCAGGACGCCAAAGGAGGCATAGATGTTACCACCGCGTATTCGGAGTCGAGTGACAAAAAACATAACATCAAGAACAGCGAAACCGAAAACTGAATATATCGTACTGGGTTCGTTTTTCTCCTTTTCCGCAGGGTGAAACGTTGTCCGACAGCAAGTCGTGGGGAATGCGCCGCCATCAGTCAAGGACAATTTCAACCAGCCGCGCGCGTACGACGGCAGGTCCAAAATGCATCCGCCGATTTTCTATGGTATACATGTATGTTGTGTACATACAACCCATGTGACGCACGCAAGTAGAAAGAATTCAATAATTAAACCGTTATTCCATTACAGGTATAGCAAACTGAAGCCAATGTTGGGTATCCCCGTACGCCCCGGCAGCCGCCCTAAACGTGCCCAATCCCAATCAGTCCGCGGCTCGTATGATCCAAACTAGCTAGATGGAACGCTGCGCGATGTCCATCTTCCGGCTCCTCAGGCGTGAATAGCCTGCTGGACCTCTGGATAGACCCTCACCATCTCATCGTACAACTGCGGGTGGTCTCTCATCATGACCTGAGGATCCCAGGCTGCTGCAACAAAGATGGTGTCGATACCGCTTGAGATGGGAGTCGTGAAGACATTGGCAATTTGCATTCCAATGAGGAAAGCGAACGCCACCACCACGGGGGTGTAGGCACCGGTCGAGTTGTAGGCTGGGTGTGTGAAGACCATGTAGAGGTACGCGAGGAAAGCGCATGCGTAGCCAATGAAGACGGCGCCAAAGGAGAGAACCGGGCCGATGAGGCATTCCTAAACCTGTCAGTACGAGAGCTTTGCTGATTTACAATAAGGTTAACTACTCACATTGACGAGAGCGTCGATGCCACGGTCCTTGATCATCTTCCACGTATCCTTCGCAGCGGGGATATATGCCTTGCCGTATAACGCGATATGCGAAAAGGCGTATCTGTTCAGGAACGAGACGGCCCAATCCAGGATAGAGATCAGGCACCCAAGAATGCAGAACAGGATGTATCCTACAATGTTACCGTCTCCGGCAGCCTGGGACCTTGCGACAGAGCAAAGGTGGCGCAAAAAGTTGATGATGGCGACAATCAAGCTACCGAAGCTGATGGAGCCGAAGCTGTAGGTCAAAGACCGCTTGAGGGCTCCACGGGTGGCGCCCTTGGGAAAGTTGTTGACGCAGAAGTACCAAGAGCCGTAGACGCCCGAAATGGTAACGTGGATGACGTTCTTGAGGACCTCGGAGATCCAGTACATGGCGAACGTGATGAAGACGAGGATGCCAATCACCTTTCCTTGGCTACATTGGCCGTTCCGACACTGCGGGTTGTTCGCCGACGGTTGGTACTTGGAGTATGTCGCGACCAAGGTCACAGAGTACCACGCAGCAAACGCGGCACCGAGCATGCCGCCCAGGAACGACACGAGGTAGACGTGGCCATACTTCTTGGAGACCTGGATCGAGGTCTTGAGCATCAGCGCCGAGAAGGGGATGCGCGGGATCCAGCTGATGAAGGCGATGACCAAGAATACGCCGAAGATGAGGAAGACGATGCCGCCGGAATAGTACTTCCTGGAGAGCATGTATATGGCGGTGACGAAGGCGAAGACGATATTGAGAATACCCGTGACCCAGATGAAGGCCTTGGGGAAAAGGCGAGCAAGCCATACGTAGCCATAGCTCAGGACGACGGCGACGGCGAGGCAGAAGGCGAAGAGTACAATCGTGTTAGTGGAGAGGCCGAAAGTATTGCCGCCGTCATAGATGCCGCCGCCATTCAGGGATTTGGTCTGGCTGTAGCCAGAGATGGTCAGGCCTGAGACTGCCGCAAACCCGAGGAAAACGAGCCAGAACTGGTGACGGTCAGTAATGGACACAGAGGACGTAGGCGAAGGCGAAGGACGATGAAGAGAACGCAGGCGACGACATCGCAGCTTACCAAAATAGCGGCCCAAAGATCATTCCACTTGGGCTTTTCAATCTTGAAGGCCTCCTCGAAGGTATACTTCTCCGGGTCGTAGCCCTGCGGCGGCGCGTTGTATCCGTAGCCGTTGCTGCCATTGTAGCCATTGCCCCCATCGTATGCGAACTGCTGCTGCGGCGGCGGGTGAGGTTGCTGGTAGCCGTTGTTCTGGTATCCGTTGTTGTACTGCTGCGCGTATTTAGGATCGTAGGGCTGCTGCTGCTGCTGCTGGCCACCGTAGTAGCCAGCTGACTCGCCGTACGGTTGCGACATTGGTCCCGGCGGACGATTGGCGATGGGGCCGCCTGTCGTTGCTGTCTTGGCTATTATATATCGGGGTGTGCGATGGTGAATCTGGCGAGACGGGAGTCGACGACGACGATGGAAGGCAATGGGAGGTAAGTAAACAGCTAGCAGAGAAAAGAAATTGGCCGCAGAGGAAATAATGGTCTCAGGTGTTGGCGCGTGGAATGATTTAGATTCAATGACGGAGCTGTTTTGGCGCCGGCCGGCTGCCCACCCGTCCACCTGTGCCTTCCGCTACTTTTTAGGCTTAAGCTTCACCTCCCAGGGCCCCCCGTGGCCCCTGTGGCCTTGCCGAATCCAAGCTGTCCAATGACGTTACCACTCGCCGTGCACGGGCAGAAAAAGCACAAAGACTTGAGCAGATTGCGGGCACGGGATTGGCTGCTGCGTCTGCTAGCTGTGTCGATGCAAGCTGAACTTGAGGAAGGACCAGGGGGCGGAAGGCGCCCCGCCTGCTCATACAGGTTACGCGTCGAATTGCCGAGAGTCACGTGCCAAGGCTTGTCTGGGAAGATCCCAGTCTTGGCGGCCCAGCAATCGTTGAATCTTGGCTTACATAACGTGCTGTTTGCAGATGGTTTTTTTGTTGTCACGGTCTATCGAAGGGTCTAACGAGGGCCAATCTCGGACAGACGTCGATCGATGGGATGAGATGAGATGAACCGCTAAACATTCCGCATCTCACCGGCCGTGACACTCGGCTGCCTCGAACTGCTTTGTGCACTTACTCTTACGGATACATGACGTCTAACAAGGTGCACAATGTGCAGCCTCTGCTGTTGCATGCCAAACGAAACACCACCGCCCGGCCGAGACATTCCCTCGGATATCGGCATCGCAACCCCGGTCGCTCGCAGCCCAGCCAAGCACGCAAAATCGGCCCAGGCCATGCATCATCCCTCGCCCACATCCTGTTTCCTCCACCAGAGGGGATGGTTTGCAGGTTTTCTTGCAGGGACATGCGGCGACCCTGATTAATGCGAAGAAAAAACGCTCTAGCTACTGCCAACTTCTAACTTCTA